ACTAGATGGCACGTCCTCGTGGTGAATACTGACCACTGTTTTTCCGATTTTAACACCAAAAAAAAAAGAGTGATAAGCTGAAGGTTGCAACCGTTTTTCCCCATTACTGTTTAAAGAGCAGAAACGATCTGAGCGTTTTGAAGCATTTGTGATTATAGTCCCGGAAACCAGCCTTTCTGGCCACGGGCTTTCATGCCATCCCACAGGGGATGTGCTGCCTGCCGGAGGTGCATGGCGTGCTGTGCAGGGGCCTCCTGGAGTAAATATTGTGGCCCTTCTCCAGGAATGGGACAAAAAAATAGCTGGTATTTAGACAGCGAGGAACTGGGTCCTGCCTCCTGTGGCCTGGAAACACCTCCGTGTTTTCCTAACATTTCTGTGTCCACAACCCACAGAACACGTGAAAGAGGCCGACCCGGTGCACAGCTCATCCACACTGTGAAAAATACTAATGGCAGTGCTTTTACTACCCCCCCCATTCTTTCTATTGTATTCTGTTCTATTTCATTAAAAAAAGGGAAAGAAACACGGGTCCACATGAATGGATTTGCGATGTGTAGTCTGACCAGCACTGTTCTGCTGCATCCTTGACCCAGAGCCGACGATCACAGATACATGCATTTTATATGGAGGATGAGGACAGGTCACTTAACCTCATCTACACACAGGTGATTTTACCCGTCCAACTCATCAGGTCATGTGAACCTCAGATGAGACCCTTTATGGAAGAGCTTTCTCCCTGTAAAATGCTGTACAGGTGAAAGATGAGGTTATTGTCAAAACTTTACTTCTTGGCAAAGTACTCAACAAGTTATTTCCCTTAACTATGTTTGCTGATTTCTCACATGGAGACTCTAAATGCTAACTTGCTGTCTGTAGTTAAATTGTTGGTTGGTTTATAAATTTAAAAAAAGCATTATTCAATTAATTTTAAAAGAATGCTAACAACTATAGTCACCTAGTGCATTATAATCAGCTTGTGTTTAATGTGTTAGTGTGGCTCTTACCTTTACAAAGTTGGTCAGCAGAAATCAAATAAGCATCATTTTGAAAGGACATCGATCCCCTTTGTGTTTAAATAATAATATTAGTAGAGTTATTAGGAGAGTTTCTTAGCAACCATTGAAGTGAGCGGTAGGCAGAGAATACCTGTTGCCGCCAAGGCAACAAGGAAGCGATTCAGTTCTTGGAGGGGGCTGTCGACCGTAGCTCCCCTGAATTGCTCTCGGCTAACTTACGAATAGGTACATTTAAACTAAGTGCTCTTTTGTGAATTAGTGCTAATAAATCCACATATATTCTTAGTTCTCACGTGGGCTCTCCTGTTCACTATTCAAAATATGTGCTTTTGATCTTGTGCTTGTGACTTCTGTTGTGCTAAGTTATTTTCAAAGGCCCTTTCTTGATTTTAGACTGTGTGTGTTGAGAGATAAGGGAATGGTTTGTGTTGGCAGAGTTAGGCTCCGAGCCTCCCTGGTCCCGGGAGCTGCCATTCCTGTATGCGTGTTACACTGGAGGGAGCTGTCCCAGAATCAATATTTGCAGAGGAAATCTCTCCCAACCTACTCTCGTTTTGATCCGATAAAAGGAAAAACTAAGCTCAGAACTCTAAGTAACTGCTCCCTCCTCCTCCACCACATGAGCTACACCAGTAGGAGACATGGAGAGAAACTACCTCCTTCTTTATTCCTTGACATTGATCTTTGTGTTGAAGGGTCATAGAGCACTCCCTTTTAGCTGACTATGCATTTCACACATGAGACTTCATGGGAAAATCATAAATCCCTAAAAGTCCAGTATACATTACATTTTTGTTCTCAACTAGTACATATGAACCACTGGCTAAATGCGTGTTTGGAATTATAATTTTTCAGTACTTCCAAGAAAATAATGTTAACTATGTGTCGGAAGAGACTGGGGTCTTTTCTTCGTGATCAGGGTGGTGTGGCTGAGTCCCCAGAACTTGGAGGGTCTCTTCATGATGCTGAATGCAATCAACTGCCGAGTTCCCTGGCCAACTCCCTTAACTTGCTTGTGTTTCTAATTTTTTCTCTGATAACCAAAGCATGATGTAGGGCAACAAAAATTGAGGTCTTCTAAGATGTGAGCAGAAATGTAGCACTGTTGTTGGGGAGAAGCGAGAACTGTAAGACTGACTTTTTATCCCAAGTATGCTTTTGTGCAAATCTCTTCCTCTCTTGATTCTAACTATATGTATCAAGCATGGGCCTAAAACTCAAAAAATAGTGCTCTCGATCCTGAAATTGTTATTCACTGTTCTGCATGTTCTATTTCTTATTATAATAAGGTAGTAAAAAGAAATGCCTCAACCTCAGAGCATTGTTGTTTTAAAAACAAAAACGTGGCCCTGCCTGGTTTGGCTCAGCGGTTAGAGTGTCGGCCCGTGGACCAGGGAGGTCCAGGTTCAGTTCCTACTAAGGACACGTACCTCAGTTGCTGTTTGTCCCAGGCGCCCAGTTGGGGTCGTGTGGGTGGCAGCCACTCGATGTGTCTCTCTCACATAGATGTTTCTCTCTCTTCCTCCCACTATCCCTCCCATTCTATCTGAGGATAAATGTAAGAATGTCCTCAGGTGAGGATAAAAAAAATCAAAAACAAAAAATGTGAACTTAGTAGATGAAAAAAATTCCAAAGTTTAATTTTCTTCATTTTCTCTAAACTAAAGCTTGAAGGAACAAAAATTCAAATAAAGCATAAATTAAGTGCCAAGGTACTCTTGGTACTTCATGTGGGTGAAATTGTCCCACATCAGTATAGTATGAAGTTGTCCCTTCCCAGAAAATTACTCCCCATTACAGGATGAGGAAAGAATTCTTATATTTCAGTTAGTTAAGTGGAGTTCCTTGCTTCTCCAGTCCATTGCATTTTTAAGTGAAATTTAGGGTGTTATTCTATGTTTTGTATCTTCCTTTGCATTTACCTCTAGTTCTGCAGAGAAAACATTCATGTTTTTCTTTATTCTTAAGTTTCCTTCTAATCGGGCAACGGTAGCAACAGGGAACCTCCTTTGAACAAGCATGAATGGAGCTCTTTGCTGGAAATAGAACAGCTTCTGCCCACTCGCACTGTTCCTACCTTGCCTTTCGATGCCCAGCTGGTAGGAATTATCCTAGGTATCCACGGAGTGTAACAGAATTTCCCTCCCCTTTTCATGAATAGTCGTGAAAGACAGGGCTTCTGTAAGTAGGTGGAGTCAAGCTGCGCATTTCGGTCACTTACAGAGAAATTGTTCGTTCCATTAGTAGTTACAGAGCCCATACTGGGTGCATGGCATTTAGGTGGACGTAACAGGCATGCAAAAGCAAAAGGTACATGGAATGATATTTTTAAAAATACAGAGCAGAACACATAGTATTTAAAAGTACACAAAACAATGCAACAGTGGGTGACCTCACTGTCTGCAAGATTGGTATGTTTTTGGTGTGCTTTTGATGGAGAGGGCAAAAAGGAATAAATGGTTTGAAGGATAGGAAGTAACTCATTCTACTCAGGAGTCATCTTGATTGCTTCTTCTCCCTACTCTTCCCCACCCCCTGTAATCAAGTCACTGGCAAATTGTGTCCATTTTGTCCAAAAATATAGCTCAAGTCCTCCATGTTTCTTCAGCTCCCTGCCACCTCCCTGGCCTGAGCCAGAGTCATCTCTAGCCGAGGTGAGAGCACAGTCTCCTAACTGGCCTCACCGTCTCCTGTCTGTTCTCCACAAAGAAGGCAAAAAGGACTTTGGAAAAAATGCATCAAATCATTAAATTCCTGATTTTAAGTTCCTTAGTGATTCTCCATGTTCCTAGGCTAAAATCTGACTTTGCCATGGCTTGTACTCTCTCCAGGATTGTCTCATCATATCACCCTTGCCTGCCAAGGGTGGCTACATCGCAGCCTTCAAGTCCCAGCCCAAATATCACTCCTCTAGAGAAGCATCACCCCTTGCCTCCTCTCCAAAGTGACTTCTCCCATGTGGCTTTCTGACATTTCCCCATTTATCATGATCTTTAATTCCATTTTATTCTTTAAAAAGCATTGCTGATATTAGTTGTAGTAGTAGTTATTGTTCATTGGCTATCTCCCCAGCTAGTATGTGTACTTCATGAGGTCAGGGGTGTATCTGTCTAACCCAGTGCCAGGCACATCATAGATGCTCAATAAATATTTGTTAACATGGAAGAGCAAGCTGTATAAGGAGAAAAATAATGAAATCACTGTGCTTGCGGCAGAGTTGGGTACCATACGTTTCAGTGTTGAATGTCAGAGTGAAGTTGGGGATTAGGAGGAAGCTGGAGAGTTCCAGGTAGACCTCCAATGATGAACAGAGTTCGGACTTGATAAGATAAGCCATACGTAGGCCAAAGCATGGCACTTGTTACATTTTTTGAGGTTGATTATTTTAGCAACTGTTCATAATGATGTATGGTATTAGGGGGCAGCTGGAACCAGGGCCTTTGTGACAGACCCTGCACAGAAAGGGAGACAAGGACCTGGACAGGGAGATGCTGAGGGAATAGGGTAAAGAAGTGGACTCAAGGCTCCACGGTTTGGAATTTTGTGGTCGCAATGCATTGAGCAATCTAAATATAAAATATTGTGCTTCCTTTATTATATAACACTAAACTATTAGGCAAAAAATCACATTAAAAATTATGTTCTCACATGAACTTGATAGAAGCCTTCATCTGTACCCCCACACCCCTTTGGGTGAAGCACAACTGACATGATGTCTTGATAGGTTTTGGTGAAAAGGAAAATGAGATCCAAGTTTTCTACTGCTGTTGATTTAATAAATGTGATAATGTACCTGAAAAGTGCCCAGTGCCATTGATTAAATTTTTCATCCCAGTAATAAAAAAATAGTGCTAATATTTACATTCTGTGAATCTACCTGACATTTTTTCCTGTCAAATTGCTATCAGAATGAAAATTATCTGAATCAGTTTTCTTAGGATGGTGCATTTGTTTAACATTGTTCTTTCTTATTTGTTTTAGCAATTGAACAGGATGAGGAAAGCAGTGACAAGCACAGAACTGTGGCCGAAGCTGAAGGTGTTCCCGATTCTCAGGTATGATCAGTTCTGGGACAGCCCCTCTCTGCACCTTTGTGTTGAGAGGTGAGGGGGTGCAGGTTTGATATAGCATTTTGTGTTTTGTAAAATAGTCATATTATGGGAATAAAGTACTTATTTTTATAAAGAGACATTTCACCAAAAAAGGTCTATCAATCACATTTGTAATTTTATTCATGGGGAAGGGACAGGTAGGGAGACATGCTCCACTCCCCAGAGAAAGCAAGGAAAGAGAAGAACCCAGAGAGAGCACCTTCTGGACAGACCATCTCCTGGAGACCCAGAGGAGACTCAGCTAACAATACGAGCTGGGGCTTGGCCAGACAGGTCAACGTGATGCCTGACCTGCAGATTCTGTGCCAACCCCAGGATCATGGCATGGATATGGTTTTGGTAGCAGCTTACCTTCATATACTATTGTAGCATAAAAACGTGGACACCGTAGCGTGTCAACTGTTAACTTTATGTAAAAGCACAGCATTTAACGGTTTTAGTGGGGACAGCAGGAAGAGGGGCAGAACAGGTGACTTTCTTTTGCAAGACCCCAATAATTCAACTCTACTCCTCAGAATGCTACCCCAGACACCCAGCTATAGCATTATGTGACATAGCTAAATAGCTCGCTACCTTAAACTGGTTTCTTAACCCTTTTGCATTTTAGATTACTTGTCTATAAAGGATAGTTGTGAGGATTAAAAAGAAAAATATGTGAAATAAGCCATTGGATTTTATTTTTTTATTTATATTTTTATTTATTTACATTGCACTTCACCTTAAAGTTCTAAAACTGTTCAGAATAATCACATTAGGTTTTCCAGTTAAAAGTGCATTGTTTGACATTGTTTTTGCTATGGTAATATTCAAACTGCTGCAATCCACAACTTCATACTAAAATTACATGCCAGGCTTCCAAGCAAACCTGGGCAGGGATTCATTCCTTTCTTGAAATTTTCGTAAATCATGAAGTTATTTGTGGGACATGTTTTTAAACCTAAGTTGTTACCCTTTGTTTTGAACTAATTTATGGGCAAAAGTCTGTCTTAATGCAGTTTTATCTCTTTGTGTATCTCCAAAGGATACACAGACCTTCCTCTGGGAGGTTTGGGGATTTTCTTCAGCAGCAATGACATAATCACACAGGATGTACAGAGGAATGAAATCATGAAACAAGTTGAAGCCAGTGAATCGATAATTAGATCAGGAACAGATAATGTTTAGGCTTGTAAGTCATGAGTTAAGTTCACTGGGATGCATAATTATGGGTATCATAGGCCTCAGCTGCGTAGGAAGGAAGGCAGCTGTCACCTCCTCTGACGCATCTGAGAAAGCTCGTCTGCTACCACAGAAGAAGCACAGTGACCTGGCTCTGATTCTGCAGGTCCGTCTATGCAAAAACGTTCTGGCTGCCCTGGCCGGTTTGGCTCAGCGGTTAGAGCATCGGCCTGCGGTCCGGAGAGACCCGGGTTCGGTTCCCGCTAAGGGCACGTACTTCGGTTGCAGTTTGCCCTGGCCCTGGTTGGTCGTGCGGGTGGCAGCCACTCGATGTGTCCCTTTCACGTCGATGTTTCTCTCTCTCTCTCTCCCTCCCACTCTATCTGTACAAAAAATGGAAAAATGTCCTCGGGTGAGAATAAAAAAAAAAAAACAAAAAAACACGTTCTGGGTAGAGTCATCAGAAGTTCAAGGCGTGTAGGGTGAGCTTCACCATCAGCTGCTATCGAGGCAGAATTAGAAACAGATGTATGTGTGTGCTTATGGGTATGTAAGCATGTGTGCACTTTTATTAATTTGACATTGAATGCATGTACATGTAATTGATCAAGCACCTATATGCCAGGTTCTGTGGCATTTCACATGATTCCAATCTTCACTCCAGAGCATATTTTAGATGAGTTAAGTGGAAATAGGTTTTCATTCCTTCTGCATATGGGATAAAATGTGTCACTACGGGGAAATGCCCGGAGGCTGTTGAAAACATTGAGTGTATGAGGGGTAAGACCGTCGCTAACCCCAGAGAACTGGCCTTGTACAGAGGCTCCCTGCCTGCCGGAAAACTTCAGCTCTCCTCTGATGTGTTGGTTCTGTTTTTCTTTTTCTCACTAAAAATATTTCCTGCTTAAGAAATGCCCTGTTGCCCGACCGGTGTGGCTCAGTGGATTGAGCGTCGTCCCATGGACTGAGAGGTCCTGGTTTGTTTGTTTTTTGTACGTGCCCCTAGTGGGAACCGAACCTGGGACTCTCTGGTCCGCAAGCCGACACTCCAACTGCTGAGCCAAACCCGCCAGGGCAGAAGTCCCGGTTTGATCTTCAGTCAGGACACATGCCTGGGTTGCAAGCTTGATTCCTCGTAGGGGGCATGCAGGAGGCAGCTAATTGATGCTTCTCTCTCATATCGATGTTTCTCTCTCTCCCATCCTCTTTCTCTAAAAAAATCAATAAAGACCTATTTTTGAAAAAAAGAAACATCCTATTGCCCTGGCTGCTGTGGTCCAGTGGTGAGTGCATCGGCCTGTACACCAAAGGGTCACAGGTTCAATTTCTGTTCAAGGGCACATACTTGGGTTGTAGGTTCCATCCCAGCATGTGCGGGAGGCAACCAATCCATGTGCCTTTCTCACATTGATGCTTCTCTCTCTCTCACTTTCTTGCTCTCTCTCTCTTCTCTCCCCCTCCCTTCTACTCTCTCTAAAAATTAATGGAAAAAATATCCTCGGGTAAGGATTAACAAAGAAAGAAAGAACAGAAACGCTCTGTTTCAATGCAGTGATGTGTGGGCAGCGTGAACAACACACGCAGAGCTGAGTGGCCTCCCGGCCGTCTTCCTCCTGGCTGATGCCTGTAGGCAGGTTCTTTATGTTTCCAAACCTGTAAATTCCTATAGGGTAGCATCTGTGTCTTTGCCACCGAAGTGCCCCCACCATGCTGGGCAGTGATTAGCATACTTGATTGTCATCTCTGTAAAGTGGAAATTTTATAAACTTGTCATGAGTTTGAAATGAAGCAACATAAAAATGCCTGCCCTGCTGGCACCTAAGAGTGTCAGTAAATGTCGGTCGGCATCCGTGAGGTTTCAGGGCTCTGCCTCGAGGGCTGGACGGCCTGGGTTCTTCTCTGGCTCTGCCGCAGCAGCCCTGGGCAGGTGGCTCCGCTCTCCTGTGCCCATGGTCCTTTTCTGTAACAGGGTGGGAGTTAACACTTTGTATGCTGCACCACGTAGGCACTAGGCACTCTTCTACGCTCTTTGTTTTTATCAATGTATTTAAACCTCAGAGCAAACCCTACGAGGCAGATAATATAAACATCACCACTTTACAGATGAGCTGGTAAATGGTGGGGCCAGGAATCAAACCGAGGCAGTCTGGCTCCAGAGTCCTTGCTTTTTTTTTTTTTTTTTTTATCCTCACCCGAGGACATTTTTCCAACTTTTGTACAGATAGAGTGGGAGGGAGAGAGAGAGAGAGAGAAACATCGACGTGAAAGGGACACATCGAGTGGCTGCCACCCGCACGACCAACCAGGGCTGGGGACAAACTGCAACCGAAGTATGTGCCCTTAGCGGGAACCGAACCCAGGTCTCTCCGGACCGCAGGCCGACGCTCTAACCGCTGAGCCAAACCGGCCAGGGCCAGCGTCCTTGCTTTTAACCACTGCACGAAACTGCCTTTCTAACCTCTGTAAACTGGGATCATTGTTGGGTTGTCTTGAGGGTGAAATGAGTATATGTGCAGTAGTTAGATCGGTGCCTGGCACGTAATACTCAAAAAAATTAGCCTCACCAGTTGTCGTTATTGTCATGATCGTCTGTCTCATTGCTTTTTGGCTTGAATGTTTAAGGTATCCAAGGTGGCTGGGCCGCCGTAGACTCTGTCCACCATTGTGGTATCATCACAGACATAAATATTCTAGACCCTTCACTCATTGTAACTCTTTATATAGGACTGAGAATTAAAGAATCTTTGTCAAAATGTATAGACTTTTGTCAGGTTCTAGTTTAAGGGTATTAATGAGATCTTCAATGAGTAATTTGTAATGTGTCCAACTTTGGAAATTCTCACTTTTATTCAGGTGGCCATTGGTACCTGGGTTTAGTCATCATTTTCATTGTCTCCTAACCCCCATTGTAGTCAGTTGTTGTAATAGTAAGTGGTGATAGCTGTTAATTATACAACTTAATTGACAAATATTTGACGATTAATTGATCAGTAGCCAAAGTGTGACTTTTCTTTAATAGACTGAAGAAAGCTCTTATTTCAGGCTGTGATAGGTGTCACAGAAAAAAAGATGCTCCTTCTAAATCTTCTATGTTAGAATTTATTAAAATTACCTACTCTGTTTTTAGACTTCTTTATTATCTGTCAACTTTGCTACCCTGCTTAGCAGTATGGTCAATAGTGTATACAGATCTGAGCTGTAATGTCTCTCAGGTCAAAACCCTATCCTAGTCTGAAAGTTCAAGGAATCAGATAGATATAATGAATGAACCCCCCGCTTCATCAATTATGTAAACATATAATGTATTTATTTTCATCAGAAGAGAAAATTATATGCGAATAGTAGATTATGGAATTATTTAAGGGAAATCACAGTAATAAATTCCATGTAACTGTGGTTTCTGCCTTCTTCCCTGCTCCTAGCCCACTCCGGCAGGACACAGTATCACATGGTGTGTATATAGGTTGGGTCTCTCCAACCTGCGTGGTGTATTAATACGAGTAATTCCACCAAGGAGGAGGACCTAGACTTGCACTGCCTCACTGTACAGAGAGCAACTGGGAGTCACTGAATGATTTCTGAGGCCCTGAGCTGCCCCAGCATGGTGTTCGAGGCCTGTCCTAATGATGCCCTGGGCATTAGCAAACCTGCCTGTACCATCACACTTGCTCTTATACCAGCTGCACTGTGAATGCTTCTTGGTCCTTCCCCAGTTATGAAAGGGTATACTTTTCTATCATAATCAGGATGAAAGTTTTCTTAGTTTTCTTCCTTTCTCTGAAGAA